AAACCCTAACCCCTGAATAGTAGTTTCCATTTTGTTTTCCATTATCCCAATATAACCCCATTGTAACCCCAATATAACCCCTGTATACCCCCTGTCTGTGGAAAAAGGAGGGGGGGGCTTTACTCAAAACTTTTCGTCCTCAACTCATAAAAGTCCTTTGTTTGGGTGATATACAACCCTGAACCCTGAACCCTACCCTGAGGCTCCTAGGACTATTTGGGGCCTTCTGTGGGAAGTTTTGGGCTTTGAGGGCTAAGGTCTAGGCTCCCATTATGAGGGTCCAAGACCCTTTGGGTAAACCCTAAAGCGGTCCGCGCACAAAGGATTTCCGCGTACATAGGGGGGCCTAAAGATGGCTGACCTGTGCTTTTAATGAGGGGATTTGGGTTACATTAAGTACTCCACGTGATAAAGACCATAAGATAATCATACCATTTCATAGCAGGGTCCCAATTTTGGGGGTTGGGGTTACTAAAACTCTTTGTAGCTTTGAAAAGTACCCAGGTGAGTGATTCCAGGGAAGAGGAGCAGGAGGAGCGCCGCAGGTGCAGCCCTGAGAGTGGGGCTTGTCGGGCTGTTCAGGGTTTGGGATTTGTGGTTCAGGGATTTAGGGTTTAGGGTTTTTTTTGGCTTAGCCAGAAGGGGGGTCCAGATAGGACCCAACCCCTTGGGTTTTCTATCCCCTTTGAAGGAGTTCTTATCAGGGAGTCTGCCCTCTTTAGGTTCTCCTTAGGAATCTGCCCTACTGGGGGTTTGGGATATGTGGGAGTTTCCAACACCATCCTGACACTATCCTCACGGGCTTTGGGCTTAGGATTTAGGGGTCAAAGCTTTGGGGTATAGGGTTTAGGGTTTGTGTTGCTTTGGGGCCTAGAGGCACCTACAGTCTCCCCATCATCTTGGCAGACCCCAAAGGCCCCTAAAGACACCCTGCCTTGAGAAACACCCAGTTCGGAAATTCGGATCTATAGTCCCCCTTAAGTAGATAGAATATGGGGTATATGGGGATCTTATTATGATCTACCCAAAACCATATTCTATCTACTTAAGGGGGACTATAGGGTTCCTGTAGGAAATCTTGCACCACCCCATGTGCCTGAAGCTCTGGGAGATACTGAAGTTTAGGGGCCTTGGTGGTGCCGTGTGATCCTGTCCATCAACAATAGGAGTCAGGATTTGGGGGTTGTATTAAGGATCATATTCAGGGTTATATGGTGGGGGCCCAATTCTGAAAAACAGCAGCACGGGTCCTGCGCCCTTCGGTAGGGCATAGCTGAAGATTGATGGAGACGTATGCACGAACCAGATCTTGCACCGCGCGCACTATGAGACCATGTCTCACACGGGGGGGGTGGGGGGTTCACGTATCTACTGTGCTACGTAATGTAGAAGCTTGACGGGAAGATTGTCCTCCTATAGTCCGCACAGGGTTCTAGTAATTCTAGTAAAGTGTACCCCCCATCCTGTTCAAATCAATTCGTCCTCTACATTCCCAGATGATCCCCTAAACCCTAGACCCTTCCGCATAGAATCCTGAATCCTTGACAGGATGGAAGCCTCCAGAGGGGCCCCTACAATCTTTCTTGTTTGGGATTTTAAACACCCGTAACCGTAAACCGACTTGCTAGCCCTGGATAAAAGGCGCTACAAAAAAGAGCCGACAAACTCGGATCCTTAGGCGTCCCCCCAACGGCAACGCCAGGGTCAAACAACTAACCCCCTGCCTCCACCACTGGGTTTCTGTTAAGGAGTTTAAACTAAGTTACTATACTGGGGAAAACGTATAGATTATTAACTATATTACATACACATTATGGCAACTTCATTTAAGTTCCTGAACAGCCACCCAGTAAAGCCCAAGGCCACCCCCCCAACAGCAAATATTCCTCCATGCTTAAATTAGGGGTTTAGGGTTCAGGGTGCCCCCGTATAAAGGGCCTCAGAGTTGCAAGAGAGATCCCTAGATGTCCCTTAAGCAGTCCCCACATTTCTCGAACATTTCTGGGGATACGCTGTTTCCCAAATCCCCTTAATCCTAAACCCTAGCCCTTGTAGACGGTCACAGTTGGGGGGTTCTTAAAAGGAAAGTTGAATGAAGCTTGACAGCCATTTTTGAATCAATACTTAGTGAGCGCCACTGGCCTGCTATCCATCAGTCTTGAAGTCCAAGGTTCAAACCAAGCGCAACCATGATGTAAGTCCCATCTTGGAATTTCCTAAGTAAGCCGCAGCGGCATGTCCCAAATGCTGTCTCAAACCCCTCTTCGCTGCTCATCAGAAGCCCGCTTTCAATAAACAGAAGTAGCGCCTGCACCCAATTTCAGGAGACATGGCAAACAGAATCGAGGTGCGACTTGAGGGTATGAACGGATCTGTAACGAACATCCAGGTGGAGCCTGGCACAACTGCGGCAAACATTTTGGACCATGAAGCTCGCAAGTTGCCAGCAGGGTTTCGTGTGCGCTTGGTGACTCAGAGTGCTGAAGCAGTGGCGCCTGACACGCAGATCTGGGAGCCTCAGGCAGACCTTTGACCAAAGCTATCCTCCTTAGAAACTTGGAACGAGTCTACTAAGCGGATTCTAGCTCACGTTTAGCACAGTGTCTCTAGGATAGTAAAATCCGTGTATGTTTGCGTGGAGGCGTTCACGGTGGTCCGCTTCAAGCATGTCGTGCAAGCCGCAGCGAAGCCACCGGGCCCTGCTGAGCAGGTGGTTTTCGTCGAAATCCCCGAAGGCACAGCGGAAGTTGGTGAAGAGGCCCTTGCAGACTGCCACATGCTGCAGGAGGTCGAGTTCCCTGGGTCAGTGTCTAGCATCAAGTCCCATTCCTTCGCCCTGTGCCGTGCCCTTCACAAGATCAGGCTGCCGAACTCAATGACCACCATTGACGCTAGTGCGTTTGATCGCTGTAGTTCATTGAAACATGTTGAGATCTCGGAGTCTGTGACCAAAATCGGACCGGGAGCATTCTCCGACTGTATCGCGTTGGAAAGCATCAAGATTCCCAGTTCAGTGACCGCCATTGAGGTTGGCACTTTTTACGGTTGCAATGCCTTGAAGCATGTTGAGATCTCGGACTCTGTGACCAGAATCGGACCGGGAGCATTCTGCGACTGCACGGCGCTGGAAAGCATCAAGATTCCCAGTTCAGTGACCACCATTGAGGAGGATACGTTTCGCGATTGTAGCGCCTTGAAGCATGT